CCCATTTACAATTCTACTGTGCTTGAACGAGAAATGTCCCCCCTTTGGGAAAGGCCTAAAGAAACTTCAGTCAGTGGCACTGCCCCGGGGCGTAAAGTGAGTTTTACAGCACTTGCAATACAATACAGTCACAAAAAAAGGAGGAGAGATAAGGATGATACGCGTTCGATATGAAAGAAGGGACAAATCATAACAGAGCACCCGCCAACCACCCAGGCCATAGACCAAAGAAAATCCAGCACTGTAGGTGGCGACCCATAAAACTTGATATTTTTCAGTTTTAATTTTAGTTTGAGTTTTAAGGCACTAGCACAGACTTTGATCTTCAGAGCCCGCACAGGACACTTACACACCAACAAGCTCATAAACAGAATTAACCCCATGTGGGAACCCCATTGCAGACACTGACTACCACGAGGAGACCGTTGAACATCTTCTCCTTCACTGCCCAAACCTGGCAGACACACACCTACAGACTTACAAAGCCTGCTCTACTCTGGCGCTGACCAGATGACAAGGGCACGTGGTTACTTGAAGAAGGTATTGCGCTGCCAAGAGCGACGCAGCTAAAGGGATTTGAAACAACAACAACAACAGCAACAAGGCACTAGCAACACAAACAGGTCATATCTGTGCCAAATATTAGGAGTCGTGTGAGAGTGAGAGTAATGTACAAAGAAAATGAGGGGAGGTAAGACCGACAGACATTTGATATGGAGACAGGGAACAAACCACACCAGAGCACCCGCCAACCACCCACCCACAATTACCTCTGACATAACACACTGTTCTATATATGTCTTTTTAGTTTTAGTAAGAGTTTTACAGCACTTGAAACACAATAAGGTCATATAAATGCAGAAGATTAGAGGTGTTACAAGAGAGTAACAAACATATAAAAGGAGGGGAGATAAGGATGATAGATGTTTGATAGGAAAGAAGGAGCAAACCACACCAGAGCACCCACCAACCACCCACTGTTCTCTATAATATATGTCTAAGCGTGCTGACAAAATGAGTTACTTCTCGGATTTGAGTCTAAAGGAAATAGATACACCACGCTTATAGGTGAAGTTTTTACAATTCATAAGTACGAAATAATAAAAGGCATGTTATACTTAAAGAATATGGTATCAACTGAAAATCTACACATTTGACCCTAGTGTCGATTTTTGTCCAATATCTCCATTTGTGGATTGCGAGAAGTAACTCATTTTGTCAGCACGACTCACATATGTTGATAGGAAAGAAGGAGCTAACCCCACCAGAGCACCCACCAACCACCCACACATATCTCTAACCTACAACACTGATCTCTCTCTCTCTATATATATATGTCTGCTCGGTGACTCACAAGGTAGAGGAAGACATGTTGAAGAGGGCGTGCCGGATAACGCGGATCATGGATGTGAATCCGGTCCCCGCGGAGAACATCACCAGGTGCGACACGTTCTTCAGCATGTTCACGTCAAAGTTGCCGTCGTAGTTGCTCATCTGGACCTTGTCTCCTGGTGGACGGACAGACAGACAGAGACACACACACACACACACACACACACATACACACAGAAGTGAGAAAAAGAATTGAATCAGTGAAATGGAAAAGTAGAAAGAAAACAAATATAAGATAGCATGTTCACATCAAAGTCGGCATCATAGTTACTCATTTGGACTTTGTTTCCTGACCGATAAACACATACACACACACACACGCACACTCACACACACACACGCGCACGCACACACACACACACTCACACACACACACATGAGGCAAAACAAGAAACGAATAGAGTGAAATGGAATAGAAATTCTATTTTTAAAAGAAGACATGAGGTAATAATCATATCAAGTTCTCACTGTCCACAGGGGTTCCATTCTCATTTTCTAAAAGCAGCTTCTCAACTCCCTTAAGCATAAAGAGATAGAAGAAACCGTTTTCTCATACATTCCTTTTTCAGTCTCCCCCTCTCTCTCTCTCTGTCATCCCCCTTTCAGTCTCTCTTTCTGTGATATCCATCTATCAGTCTTCCTCCCTTCTCTCGTTCTCTTTTCTCCCCTCCCTCTCATTCTCTTTCATCCCCCCCTCTCTCATTCTCTCTTCTAGCCTCTCTCTCACCCCCCTCTTTCTCTCTTATCCCCTTTTTCATCTCTCTTTCCCCTCCCCTCTCTCATTCTCTCTTTCCTCTCCCTCTCATTCTCTCATCCCCCCCTCTCTCTTCTCTCCTCTCTCTCATCACCTCTCTCATTCTCTCATATCCTCTCTCTCATCACCTCTTTCATTCTCTCTTTCCCCTCCCCTATCTCATTCTCTCTCTCCCAAAGCCTCTCTCATGTACTCTCCCCCCTCTCTCCTCCCCTCCCCTCTCTCACCTCTCTATCTCTCATCCCTATCTCCCTCTCTCTCTCCTTCATGCGTCCCCCCACTCACCTGGCTTGACATTACAGATCCAAGGGGAGATGACCCCTCTCTCATTCTCTCTTATCCCCTCTCTCATTCTTTCTCATTTCCCTCTCTCTCTCCTTCATGCCTCCCCCCACTCACCTGGCTTCACATTACAGATTCACAGGGAGACGACCCCTCTCTCATTCTCTGTTATCCCCTCTCTCACCCCCCTCTCCCTCTCTCTCTCTCCTTCCTGCGTCCCCCCACTCACCTGGCTTGACGTTACAGATCCACGGGGAGATGACTCCTCCCTTGTAGGACTTGATCATCAGGTAGACGGCCTGGCCACTCTTCACCTCGGGATCTTCCTCGGGCCGTGTCAGCGAGGGAACCACCACCGTGTAGCTACGGGCGATCTCCATGCCTGGAAGCCAGCGCGCACACACACGCACACACACAGACAGACCAGATGCTTAGTTTTAGTAAGTATTTTAGGGCACTTGCAACAAAATAAGGTCATATAAGTGCTGAAGAAGGAGGGGAGATAAAGACGGTAGATGTTCTTGTTTGTTTCTTTGTTTTAGTAGAAGTTTTACGGCGCTCGCAACTGCATGAGGTCATATGAGCGCCAGAAGATTAGAGCTGTTACAAGAGAGTAACAAACACAAAAAAGAAGGAGGGGAGATAAAGACGGTAGATGTTCGATAGGAAAGAAGAAGCAGACCACACCACAGCACCCGCCAAACACCCACACAAACCAGATACAGTGAAGTATGTTCAACTCAAACAATTATTTTTTTAAAAATACCTGTAAACCACAACAAACTACAATTTTTGAGGGTTTTTTTCTGCTATTTGAGCACCTCTCTAAATCAAAAACTTATCTAATTTGAAGGAAATCTGACAGTGTAAGTGAACAAATAAATACCTACAAGTTTTAGTTTTAGTTAGAGCCCCTCCCCCCCCCCCCATTTTTTTTTTTAAAATTAAATTTTTTAAAAACAAAACATTTTAAAACATAAAAAAAAAAATTTAATTAAAAATTGACAAAAATTGTCCTGTGGACAGGAAAATGTCTGGTTCTTAAATTTCACTATTTTGACATGTGCCTGATTTTACCAAGACGCCACACACACACACACACACACACACACATCTCTGACCTGATACGTTGTTCTTTATGTGCAAGTGGTGGCCCACAGGCGTGATCATACGTAGGCCGGCCGGGGGTCGGAAGGTGAGCAGTCTCGTGTCGTGCGTCACTTCTTTGTTGTTGACACACGTGTACGTGTGGTACCGGCACTCTGAGAACACAAACAAACACACATGACACAACGTTTTCAACATTTGCGTTCCTGTAACAACGGCACTTCTTGTTTTAGTAAGGTTTTACGGCGCTCGCAACTGCATACGGTCATATGAGCGCCAAGGGGTGGATGTCAACAGAGAAGTCCTTACAGGGAATCAGACTTACTCTGCTCACCTCTCTAACTTCAACAGCACAAAGTCTGCTTCG